AATAAAGCCATAAGTATGGAACACCCGGTACACTAGTGAAAAATTAAAACTATTTCTGCTTATCTCAATACATGCATACCACTCTCGCAAATGTAATAATTCAGACAAACTCAAGCTTTTCAAGAAGGCAAAGACCTAAAGGGACGTTAATTTTTACCAATCATGAGGTAATTTTTTCCGATATTTTGCTCTCCCAGAAGAAAGAAAATTTTTTCTCTCAAAAACTGATGAATGTGTTAACACTTTGTAAATTATAAATTTTAAACATGTTTTAATTGTGAATTGGTGTTTGTAGTTTGTGTAAAATTTTAAATCTGTTGATGGCGCTGTTGCCTCGCCGAAACGTAATGAAATAAACGATGTTTGAAAAATTTTTACTTCACACTTTGACTGAAACCCAGAAAAGATAGGAATAATTAATGTTTGTAAACCTAGCATTTGGTGCATTGTTTGCATTATATTGTTGGTGTTATTAAAGCGAAAATTTCAAAAATCAGTAAATAAGCGGAAAAATTAAAAAGGACAAAAAATATGTCAAATGACATGTTTTGTACATTTTGTTCTCATTAGTTAACAAAATCATATTGTTTTATGGTTTACAAAAAGCATATTGCCTATAAATCCGGACTCTAATTATGACAGAGAGGGTATACATATTAAATTCCTACATTAGTATTTACGAAAAACTAGAACTTTCCGTATATTGTTGCATGTTCCTATAGCCCCAGATAACTGGTGTCAGGAGGACAGGTCCGATTTTTATAATTCTCTTACAGACGTAGTATACACTGCTGGTCCCAATGGGACTTTCTTGCTACTTTAAGTGTCTATATCTAATTAAAGTATTAACCACAAATCTAATAAAACTCATCCCAAAATTATCCTTTTTGTAAAAAACCGATTGCGCCACATTCCTACCAAGGGCGGATTCAAAATGGGGGGGGTCATGAACTCCATGACCCCTGTGCTGGGTTTTTGTCGACTAACGATAATTTTTCTAATTTCATAGAACAACAAAAAACTGAATTTCTACTACATGACCATCCCTGACTTGAAAGCTGGATCCTTGAAACTACTCGAATTTCCTCACTCATGTTATGGCTGAATCGAATTTTCAATTCTCTATCCAACGATGCGAAACGAATTTTGCGGCTCAAATGGGCCTTGAGAAACATCGAAAAAAGCAGTCATGTTTAATTCGATTGTGCAAGTTATGTTTGAGTCGATTTTCCAACTCAAAAATAAACACGCAAATCTAAAACTTCTTGAAATCAAGACTTTTAGAGAAAACTGCCAACATTTCCATATCAGCGGTTTACTATCTTAAAATACTATTTAGTTCTCTCTGGAATGATGTAATTTTTTTTTGCTTCAGAGAAATGAGCAAAAACGGGACAGAAAACATGAACTTTTGGCATAATCTTGCACCTAAGTGTCTGATATTGAAATTTCGCTTTCTGGGACAAAACTCCCCGAATTTCCTCACGCATGTTGTTATGACTAAATCTAATTTGCAATTCTCTAGCCAACGATACTAATGTCATGTCATGCCCAACCATGTCATCATGGTTGTCATGGGGATCGTGACACCCTGGTACGTACTGGGTACTAACGATAATTTATCTAATTTCATAGACAACAAAAGACTGAATTTCTACTACATGACGCCCCCCCTGACTGTAACGCTGGATGCGCCCCGATTCCTACAGAGTGTCCCATCTAAAAAACATACGTTTGATATACCAGCGATTTTTGAAAACATCTGTGTGACGAAAATAATATTGGATGGATAATAATGATATCATTAAAAAATTATTTAGAAACGACACACGAGTTAGCAATAATCTTACACTTTGTCTTGATTCTCCACCCTCTATAAACTGCAATTACAATTGAATAATTAAGCATTATATGTTATACTGCAAACTGACACCAACCGGCCGAAACATCAAATGGCTGATGTGAATTGTTCTTTTGAAGAAATAATAACATAATCATTAATCTACAGTCATAATAACATTAAATAATTATAAAACATTATTTAATTTACTTATATACTTACGACATGCGTCAGTTGGAACAAGCCATTGCAAATGCACGTGACACTCACCACGCACTGAGCTAGGAATATGTACGTGAAAACATCTTCTATGGAATTTACATAACTTAAATAATCATCGTAGTTACGTTGGTTCATTTCTACAGATACGCCAATGTTACCTTATAATTGCATTGTGTCTCTCAGCACATCTTTTAATGAAGCGATGCTCCTCCTTTTCTAAGGTCTCAATACTTGTCGGGGTAAAAGTGGTGATTTCTTCAATGAGCATGTCGAGCTGAGCAGTGGCTACATTGGCCAGTCCCATTACAAGCATATCAAAGCAAATACCAATCATGATCAAGTAGAAGGAGCAAACGCATTGCAAAGTCAACAGCAAGTAAAAAGTTGTAGTGGTGAGGGGATGGGAGAAAGTAATCGGTAGCGGATATGAAGAATAGAACGGCTTGTTCAGGTAGAACAAGATGGTACCTCCGACTAAATAGACAAAAAACTTGCCAATTAAATTAGAAACCCTGATGCAGTTGTCCTGGTGTTTTTGCATTTCCGGAGGATAAGCGTGGAAAATGGGACTATCCATACTATCGAGCATATTCTTTAGAGGGCCGTGCTTTGTGAATTGAAACAAGATAATCTTTACGCTGAAGCCAATGTACAGACCAAAAGTGGATAAATGCATGGAAAGCGTCTTATAGTCCTGCCTAATTGCTAACATCTTCAGTTCATCGATGACGGTAAGATTGAAAACAATGCAGACAATGGTGATGAACACGACTTTCATTGTCCGATATAGGCTAGTGTCATCATTGGGCCAAATTTCGGTGATAACAAGTACTTTTTCAGTTATCGCTATTGAACTGCGCCATTTTTTTTTAATCTAGAATTCCCAATGTCCACATTCAAGTGATAAAAGGAAAACTGTACATACCTGAGTCGTTTCTCCCAGAACGGACATGGTTAACTCTGAAAATATTCTCTTCTCTAATGTGTCTTAGCACTTTGTATCGTTATTATTTATTCACAAAAGCCGCATTTAATAGTCTGATTGTAATAATACATATTACAATTGAACAAGTTTAATATCTACATAATTGCTGCTAGAGTTGGTAATAGATAGTTATTAGGGATGTTCGAGAATTTCGATTTAAAAAATGTGAAATTCAATGATAATTATAATGTGCGCTGGTTTTTGAACATAGGCTTTCTGGTTTTGTGCATGATCCTAAAGCTGTTCAAAATACTATTACTTATTATTCAGGTTTCTCGTTCATTTGAAAATGAATAAATTTAAAAGTTTATAGCGAAATATCTACCTACTATGCCGGGTGTTTTTAATAAGTAACTGATATTTCACAGAGCGATTTGTAAGGTCTGTTTAAGATTTAAAAAATATGTGCACGCAAGGATTTACTTAAGGAGCTGCAAGCTGTTAAAAATTTAACTTTAGCTTCTGTTTATCATCATGATAACGCAAAAACAACACTAAGCATAAACTTTTTAAAGCGCCTTTCAATAAACACAGGCATCAAGAACTTTAAATCCAAATATCTCGAAAACAAGATATTTTGTAAAATCTCTGTCACTTAACATGTAACATCTGATGCATAAAAAACTGAAAGTAGCATGTTAAAAAGTTCTGCGTGTTCTCAGTTTTCAGTCTCAACACCACAAGCATTAATATAAAGGGTGATTCAAAATTAACGTCATTCCTTTTAAGGGGATCATTTGGAGAGAACGAGAAAATTATTGAAAACGTTTTTTTCGAGAATTTCTTGAAGATATTGACAGTTGAAGATCGAATTTCAACTTTATTATCAAGCATTATTTTCAAATGGTCCCATGTTTGATTGGAAGTCTATTGGAATACTTAACCGTTCGAAAAGAAAAATTGCGATATTTGCTTAGAATTGCTTGAATTATGAAATTTTTTATACTAAAAATTAATTAATTTTCGGTGATGACAAGTTATTTAATTAATATTTTAATAAAAAATTGAATTAATTAATTGATTAATTAATAAATACATTTTATTCACTATTTTTCCTCTACTCCCAAAACCCACAGACACCTCCAGTTTTCAAAAATGGTTTAAACAGTTTCGCCCATTCCGTTCATTAACAGAGTGGTCTAAAAAAAACAACTTCTTGGTCGTGCAGTCATAAATAAAATAATACTCACATTAAAGCTCAGACTTCACAAAGAGATTGCGAGAAAAATTCACTATATTATGTTGCATAAGTGAACAAAATATTTCAAAGTAAACTTCACCTACTTGAAAATCTTCCAGAATCACAGATTTCCGGGATAATTCGGATTTGGATAAGTTTTTATGCAATCTTGTATATCGAATTTTCGTCTTCAATTGTCTATGACCTTTAAGTTTCAACATGAGCTCTAGATGGTGAAAGTCGAACCAAGAGCAGTTGAAAAGTTTTTAATGCAAGACCAACAATTTTGTTTTTTGAGACAACCGTGCAAATAGAAAATTCAACAATCGTTTCGTGATATTTGGTATATCTTTAAACTTTTGGCGTTCAGATCCAAAAGTTTTATTTGTTCAACCAGGACCATGACGAACTTTGTGATATTTTGCATTTTTTTAATTGGCGCCCTATAAAGAATATATCTGAGATGTTTAACAAAACATTGACTCACAAAAAAAATTGGACTAGATATGACTTCAAATAAAAATCACATGCTAAACGCAATGAGAATGTATCTATATAGTTCCAAATTTAGGGCAAATTTAGTTGTAACGTTCATTTTGTTGAGCAGTTTACTATGCTTGTTCGCGAGAAATCAATTTGTTATTTAACTACTTTTTTCGACAATTTTAGTTATTTTTAATCCGTACTGTAATCAACACTAATATAATTATATTTATACACCATTTAACACGTAACCTGCGGCTATGTAACTACCTTACGCACTTAGGGTAGCCAAAAATCGTGCGACATGTTTTCATTGTTGTGAGGTCAATGAAGACCAGCCGGTAGTCACTAATTGAATCAGTGAATTTCCTTTATTAAATCGACCAAAAGTCAAAAAGTAATTTTTAGAAGTGTGTGTTCCGAACCCTGGGTAGTGTTGGATTCGTCCCAACTAAGAAACCCCCTTTTTGTACTACTAGTTTTCTGGAGTTATCCTTTAAAACTAGTAGTCCTCTCTAGGAATTTATCAGCTCAGGCTCCGGTATGCCATAGCATCGCATTCTCTCCATGCTAGCTGCTTGCTGGCATGGGCATCTTATTAATTAAACGCCTTAACTTATACAAATCAAAATTAATTCCTGGGTTTCAGTCATTTATTGTCTTTATTTATCAATTAAAATACGTTTCGGTGTATTTTTCC